TCCCTTGCGGCTGAACCACTCCCAAGAAGTATGCTGTTCTGTCCACTAACTATAAAGAGACTCTAAGGGGATGTACCTTGTTGCATGCTGTGAACAGTTGCTCTCTTCAGATGTTTTGGGGATAACTGTAATGTCAGAGTGATGTGAGTCTGTGGTTACCTGGTAGACCATTAGCCCTGGTGTCACTCACACTCCATAGAAGATAGCTGATAAACGGATGTTTACACAGTCTGATTTGCAGATGAAGCCACATCTGTCAACACTGGGAAGAGGTGGTGGAGAGGAGATTTCATACATTTATTGAACTCCTTGTGCTATATGTAATTTTACAGTAAAAGCAGTAATGCTGGCATAGGAGTCGGTTCTGTTCTCCCTCCTTGTCCCTGACTGCTGGTTCTCACTCCTGCAACGTTTCTTTCTGTGTGCCGGTGTTGTGTGGCTATTCTGTAATGTCAGCTGAGGAACTGGTCCTGGCTAAAAATGTGTATTTGGGGGTTTGTTATTTAGTAGTAATTTACACCTGTTTCTTGAGCTTGCGAGTTGCACGGCCCTGTTGAAGTTTGTTTTAGGACAGGAGAAGAGCAGACATGGGCGGGTAAGAGAAGAGGATGTGGAATCACATTTTCTTCTGCAACAATGCCTGTTTGTATTATGTAATATTTACATGCAGCTCTGCAAGAAAGAACCTTGACTAAACTCAAGGTGTTAAACTGGGCTATTGTCATCTAACATTTTGCTTCACGTAAGAAAAAAGTAGATAAAATCAATTTGTCCATAGAGAGGAGAAACAGTCTCCCTACTGTGACCCCCCTTCTTGCTGAGATTGTCTGTTCCCATCTCTGCTCTCTCTAGGAGGATTTTCAGCATTTAGTTGCTCTTCTCAAGTGAAATGAACCTTTTTGATTTCTTCTCTGTTCAGACCACCTGACATTTCATTCTTCATGAAGAAGAAAATTGGTATAGTCTGACGGGAATAACATTTATCTCATCAGATACATTTTTTTCAGCTGACTAAGTCTGATATATTATATAGTTTGGTGTATGAGAGTAGTTCAAAACCACTGGGAGGGTGGAGGATGGATGCTTTGCATCGATTCGTTCCAATGAATCTTTTCTGAGTGTATTGCTGGAAGGAACAGAGGGATTCACCTGTCCTAACTTATGTTTCTGTAAATTGGATATTTTAATCTGAGTCTGTCCCTGCTTTTATGGTCAATGGGGAGAAGGGGAATGAGTTGACTCATCCTCTGGGAATGCCTCTCTTCTTTGATGGTAAAGGGAAACCATTCTACATTTTAGACAGCTGGGACGGGGGACTCCAACTCCAGGCTAAAACGCTCAAGTCTCAATTGAGTGTCACACAACTCGCTGTCCATAGCACCAGCGGTGCCCTGGGGTTTTGCACCTAGCCTTCAGAATGTTGTGGGTCTCCCATAGGTCCTGTGTGGTATTTGCCTAGGTTATACTAGGTGTCTGCACAGGGCTGGCAGATGTGACACAGGACATGAAGGGCTTGGCACTGCCCTGGAGCAGAGTGCAGTGAGATGCAGTACACCATCCAAGGTACCACTAGCCGCCTGTGTGCAGGTGAGTTGAGTTTCGGTCACATCTTGCTGAAATGTGGTGACCGTGTCTGGCTGTTAAGAGAGCTGAGACACCTCCTGTGTGTTGGCAGTTGTCTTAACCTGGAGGCAAATCCCAACGCCGTGGCTGCCGAGTGGGGTGAGTTGCACCAGTAGTGTCTGCGTAGTGCCCTCTTCTGCTGGATGTTGTACCCACACAGACAAGAACCGCAGCCCTGCTCCACACAGTTTGCAGGTGAAGCGTAAGAGAGCCAGGTGACTGGGGAACAGCAGAGAAGAATGAGGTTACCTCGGGCAGAAGGTCAAACACATCAAGTCCCTATAGGAAGGGGGAATCACATGGGATGTCTGAAGGAGGAAAGTGAAACAACTGTGTGCCTGTTCTGCCTTCCCAAGTATGTGAGCAGGATAGGAGAGAGAACTTATTTTTGCTGTTGTTGAATTTATCAATTTTGCGAGGCTGGAGGAAGGAGCCAGTGTCACAGTGCTGAGATGACAGGTTAGAGAAGATGGGTAGGCATAGTAGGATTTTCATTGGCTCTGGATACGTTAATCTAATTTTGGCTACCTCAGGAGCAAGGTCTGTGTTTTGACACCCTTTGTCTTTCTTTTTCTTCCTCCTCCTTCCCCTCTTTCTCTTCCTGAAATGTTAGCTAAATTGATTTTCATTGTCTAGCTGTTCTTCCTCCTGCTTCCATCGAAGTGACTGCTCTCCGCACTCTTCTGCCCTAGGTGGCAGCAGCGAAGCTGGCTTTCTGTGCCTTAGGCTGTGAGAATGGCAGGCTGCACGGCGATTGAGCAGCGTTTATTGCTCAAATAGCTTCCCTGTATACCCTGGAAAAAGGTGGTGAGCAGGACAGAAGCGTCCCCTAAGCCAACTGTGAACTCTGGGCTGCGATTTGGACCGCGCTGGATCAAGATATATTAAAGGCCTATGACCAAAACCAGATGAACAGCAAAAAGAGGTTTCAGATCTGATCTGTGGAGGTAATAGCCATTACTGTGTGTCTAAGCAATCCAGAGTTCCCTGTTCCCCAGCCTTAACGGCACTATGGAAAATCAGTGTCATAGTGTTTATAACTTTGTTTGTGAGGCGTTAACATAAGAAGAAATTCACTTTTGTGATGACTTTGAGATCTAAATTCTTAGAAACCAGAGGGATTTTTTAATTCAAAAAATGCCATTTGTAAAGTAGGATAAATGGGTTGTAGAACTGCTTAACCTTGACTTTATATTTGGTAACTGAAGGAAAACTCAGCTCCATTTTTTCGAAGGTCAGAATACTTTTGCCCCATTGAAAGAGTGAAATTGCTTTTATCTTTGTTATTGCATCAGAGGTACTGCTGCAAAGGTGATATTTAATTATCATCTGTAGAACTGCCATTTTCTGTGAGAAGAAGGAAAGGCTTGATTTATCTTAAATGCATTTCTTCTAGCCACACCTTACTTTTTTTTGCAATTAACTTCTCTCTTCCCAACATTGTTAAAAACCCACCCAGCCTATGGCACCTTCTCTTTCTTTCTGTGCCCAGTTTAACTGCTGCTTTTTTACAAGTTACTTTTGTTAGCCCAGTTTGTTCTTTTTCAAAGCTGAACAAATAACTACTGGTGTTTGACAGGCACTGCACATTTTTGGGAGGAATTTACTACAGAACTGTCTTCCTCTCATAAAATGAGGGAGTGTAAGTACGTGGGTGTGTATTCATCTATGTTTTCATCATTGCCTGTTTGCATATGTTGGCTGCCTTTCTGTGGACCTCAAAATCTGTGCGTTGGAGTTGCTATTTCCTGACCATACAGGTGTGCTGTGAAGATAAATTCCTTTGCATTATAACCTCTGTGATGTGAGCGGGGGGGAAAAAAATCGCTGCTCAGTGTAGCAATAGGTTCAGGAGCCGTTAAGAATTCATGTTGATTAAATAGAAATATTAGAGTGCTTGCTCTTCTGCTGGGCAAAACAGGTGGAGAGAACAGCATGTGATCGTGTAATTAAAATCTACCATAATGCATACCCACGAGGTCACTGAGCAGCGTTAATTCTGGTACAGCTTGAATTGGAAGTCTGAGAGTGAAAGCTTGGTTTGTGCTGTCTGTGAGAAGGGATACTTTTGATTCCTGAATCCAGAGCTGGTGGCTGTATAAAGGACAGTGCTGCTGTACCTCCATTTTGTGGCAGTGTTAAAAAGTGGGCTTTGCAAAAAGAAAGTCACAGTAGCCAGAAGCATTTCATCTAATATTGCAAAATCAAGAGCGCTCTTCACTAGTTTGCATTGGCTGGCCAGAGGGCTGGAGTTAGCTCTGAGGCCCCTGTTTTCTTGGAATCCTTGCAGTCAATATAAAGCATATGAAGACAAGTTTGAGGTCAGAAATGGGACATGGAAAGGAGCCTAGGGAAAGGAGGCATTAAATCCCATTAATACTGAGTGGGATCAAATTCTCCTACGCACATCTGAGAGTCCCAGGCTCGTAACCTACAGGCATTCTGGTGTGTGTACTTTCATGCATGAGGTTCTGCTGAAGAAGGGGGCAAGGCACATGTATGAGATTTGAGGGATTAACAGCAAACTTCAGGCTGTCACTTTGAACTTCCCAGTGGTTTTATTAACCTTCTAGCTATATTTGATCACATTCGACTTATTTGTTCCTGGTGCAAAAATATTCAAACTCATCCCTGTCTCTCT